TTAACCATCATGACAGCTCTCTAGGCTGCCATGTAAATGCCGCGTCACGCAAAAGCTTAGAAATTCAAGCGTAGTGTATCACAAAACCAAGAACCCATTCGGAGCGAAAATTTGTATGAATATTAGTTTTCAGCAGCTCTTATACATAATTTAAGTAAAATCTCAGGAAGATCAATAGTTTTGTAGTTCGAATTTTAGTGACGTATGTGAAAACCAGCTACAACACTTGGTTATACTAATTTTGGAAATGATAATTTTTAGGCAGTCCGCTTTCGGTTTCTGTCGAGTTTCAGCTGCTGGCTCTGGGCTTTCAGGAGAGAGTTCGCCTCGTAACTCAATTTAGACATCGTTTCCGTTCTGCCAACAAACAGTAATAAGAAAATTTTACACTTGGTCTCTCTTGCTGCAATGGAAGGAAGAAGCGGCTTCTCGCGCACTGGGAACGAGAGATAGCCTCCAGGGATATATTTCCTTCATATAGTAGTAAGGAAGTGTCCCCCCTGGCTGCTCAGTTTCTCCGATTACAAAAAGATCAACTCGTGCAGTGAAATTCAGATTGTGGGCAGTTTTGATGACTTGAAATGGTAACCGGCTCTTATAATGCTAATTCTGAAATCCTATCTTTCAACTGCCTCATTTCTGAGTTTTTTTCCCAGGCGGAGAATTGTGAAAATGGCGAAGCGGAGCTCGGCTTGTCTTGGGCAGTGAAAGTTCTTGATGCAAGCAAAGATGGAGAGGTCGTGAAATTCACGATACAAACAAACATGGTAAGGAGGTGTCGCGTGCAATTAATTAGAAGCAAAATACTCTGATGAGCTAGAGAACACGCTTCACTGTTAACTTAAATTACAGTCACTTCATTATAATGTGTTTAAAGGTAGACCTGTAATTAAAGTTAAGTGCCTTGCCGAAGGTCTACTACAGCTCTATTTTTAATAGTTCATCAAGAGGAAATCCTTTGGTAACTTCCCATTTTCAACCTTCACTCCGCTCGTTGAAGTCGCGTTCTCTTCACCCAAGAAGATAAATTCATAACCTAGCCTCACTAAAGAAAAAACAACAAAAAAACAAAGCCTCACAAAACAGCCTCATAAAAATGTAGCAAGGGATGGGAGGGGGAACTCGTAATGTGTAATCTACCCCATCCAGGTGGAGTAGCAATTCCTCTTGTTAATCTCTGGAAATGAGAGTTTCTCAGATTCACAGGCGTCTAGATGTCCATGCAGCCAAAACCAATCGTGGAGAAACCAATAATATTTTGAATCTTTTAAGATTCTTGCAGAGTGCATTATCAATAGCTAGCCTTTAAATACAGTATTAGTAAGAGTAGTGGCACACTTGTGAGTTAACTTCAAATATTTGGAATTGATTTCCTTTTTCCATAGGTTAGTGTTGCAAATTATTTTAGATTTGAGAAATATTTTGAGAAGTCTTTTTATAAATGCAGTAGAGCAGGGTTTTCAATACGTTTTGAAATAGCCGTCTGAGCTAACTAAAGTAGGCGGCAAAGTGATGAAATTTTTTAATAATTTGAGTAAAAATACAGACAAATTAGGTGGTGGTAAGAGGTAAACTCTGACAAAGTAGGTGGCGATTTTTGCCGGTTGCCGGCTTCTAATGAAACCTCTGTAGAGTCCATAATTTTCTGTGTTTACATAGCCTCATCGAAACTTTCAGAGGGGTGGGGAGAATTCTCAAAAGTTATGCAAACCTGAGATGCAGTCAAGGGCTTGCATAACTTGCAAGGATTCTCCCAATCCACTAGTGTTTAGATGAGGCTACATGTATGTAAACACAGAAAAAGTGCCCTATGGTCCTCTATTGCTTGATCATTTTTATTACCACACACCAAATCAAAGAAAAATACCAAATTACACCAATGGTAAAATTTAACCACAACATTAGACCATATCATTATATGGCAAATTTGTTTTTGCTACAGCATGACAGCTCAAATTAGGAGTATAGGTGTTCTCTATTGTCGAAATTCCATACAGAATCATGCTCTCTGTTAATGTGACATTTTCTTTAGTCTTGCTAGTCCACCATGTTTGGAATAAGTCCCAGAAGGATAAAGTTAATTGAGAGTGCAGTCTCTCTTATCAATTATAGAGGACAACAATAACAATGACATCTATAATGTAAACTATTGGAAATAGTGTTAATGTGCTGGGTCACCATGTGACCTGGCCCCTTCGTAGATAGGAATCAGCTTGGCAAGTAATCTAGTCTTCAGAACAGACTTAACCTTTCACCTCATTATTTTGTTTTGCTAGGGTCATGAGGGTGAAGAGGAGAAAGGAGTAATAGTTCTTCGTCAATATGAAGATTTAGAGTGGCTGTATCACTGTTTAATAGCACACAACAGTGTGGATGGAGTTGTTGTAAGTTGTTTTGTTACATGTACCTTGTATCTATAGTTCTGATTTGTCCACTTGCAAAATGATCTAGAATTATGTGGAGGCCAAATCGTTAGTGTTGATACAATTCTTTGATCCTCATATCCTCATTAGTCGAGTACCCCCTTTAGTTAGGAGTTGGTCAATTCCATATATTGCAGTTACGTTTAAACTTTCACTGTACTAAATTACGTGCAATATCTCTGTATTTATTACATGTATCTGTATTATTTTATAACAAAGTTTATGAATCTGCTGGGCTATCAATACGCCCAGTATTACTCCAAATAGGACAGTGACACAATGTACATGTAACTGGACAGTGTGTGTGGATGGTACCTGTCATCTTGGGCACCTTCTTTCTTGTCTGACAGATCTGTACTTTTTTAATGAATGAATTACTTTTCCCATGCTTCTTGGTCAAAACACTCACCTGTTGAAAGTTTTCAATTTCTATCAAGACATTGAACCAAAGATGAGGTCCTCCAATTTCGTTACAGTTTTGATGAATGGGTATCAGGCCCCAGTTGTTCAAAGGGTGTATAACACTATCCACCGGATAAATCACCATCCAGTGGATAGTGTATTTTGTTTTGTCAACATTTTTAGCAATTTATTAGGTGGATAGCATTTTAATTCACCCTTGGAACAACTGGGACCTGGACTTCGTGTCATCCAATTTTGTCTATTCATGCTCCCGATTAAATTGGACTCTTACTATGCAGCTGTACCAGGTTATTGAATATGATTTCAGGCTGACAAAAATTCTGCATTTCTCAGATACCACCATTACCTCCAAAGCCAGTTACTACAGTCAGTGCTGCTGAAGCCAAGTCTAAAAGGCAGTTAGGTCAGTTATCAACATACTAGAGATCAGTTTGAATGTTACAAATCCACTTCATTACCATTTACAATTAAGACTATGACACAATTCTGGCATCTGATTGGTAATCAGAAGTAACACTGCGACAGTATATGACTGTGTCAATGTCATGTATATAATTCAACCTTATAGGAATGAAATTGGACCACGTGTAGTGTTATTGGAGAGTACACTGTACAATGTACATGTGCATCATTTTTTATGTAGGGTTCTCAATAATTTAGGGAGTAGAGGGTTGTTTCATGAAGTAGATAGCTGACACTGATTTGAGTGCTGAAGGGACAAGCCTCTAGGGAGGTGTGGGGGCATGCTCCCCTAGAAAATTTGATATTGAGAAGTTCTGAAATGCCAATATTGCATTTTCGTGGAGATTTTGGAAAAAGTCAACACACCAAGAATATTACGGGGTTTCAAAGACTTTTTCCATTTTTATCCTTCAGTGCTAGCGTAATTGAAAACATGCGTGGCGCCATGACCCCATGCCCCTCTCTAGCTACTGCCTTGACTGTCCTTTGACAAAGACAGTCACGGTTGAACAGTCATGTTCCAAGAAACCTGCGTTTTCCCAACATTATTCTAATTGCAAATTACACAGTCACATACTGTATATTTTTTCAGAAAAAGTAGGTGGCTAAGTGTACTGCATCTTGGATAAAAACAAGCTCATGACAAATGAATTATGTTGTGTAATAAATTTTTATTTATGAAGACAAATTTGAGTGATTGTTATGATTATTTAATTTTGTTTTAGTTTTGAACAATTGGTAAATAAATGTTTAGGATGTCGTGATAGTGTTGCCCTGAATTCTGTGTACATTGTAATCATGGTCATAATTAAACAAATCAGATTCCTGCCAAGTTGTGCTCATGAATCCAGTTTTTCAAACACTCTTATGACTTCAACTTACTAGTTAATAGACTAAATTAGCCCTAAACTAGAGCCATGATTTATAATAATATTGTTATTTCAGGAAAAGATGCCAAGAATATGGTGGCAGATGAATTTTCAAGGGAGTGCCGTAACATGGAGAAGTAAGTTGAACATAAATTTTATGGTAACTTTGCTTTCAATTGGCTATTGATAAGTAAGCTTACATGTGTACATAAGAAATAAAAGTCAGCTAAATTTAGAGTGGTTTTCACTCGAGTACACGTCAAAATTTGCATAATTTAGTTCAATTTGCATTACTATGCTAAGCAAAACTTGCACCACTTTATTATTCAGTCAGAAGTTTAAGGTAAACTACTTGTAGTTGTGACTTGCATGCCCACACAGGTTTTCCTGTGTTTTGCATCTTCTACAATACACATATGTTTTGGAGTCTTGATCGGCCTATTATTGCCTAAGTCCTTTGTGACTGGCCATGAGGAGTCCAAGTGCAAAACTATTCAAAATGAATTGTGCCTACCGGTTCATTTTCATGCAAATCAAACTTCTGTTCATATGAAAGATTTTGCACAAAGACTCATTTGGAAACAGGGGCACAAGGTAACTCGGAAATGGCCTATTAGGTTTTATGACACCCAGCTGAAAACCACTCTTTAGACATGTATGTGGTGACAATTACCAGTCAGAGTATGTTTCTGTATGTCCAGGGATTGGTCATACTAGTTAGATTTCATTCTTAGAGAATTCCCTATTTCAGAGTCAAAACTAAAGTGAAATATGTACCCTGACCCTCTTCCAGGGAGAAGTGGAATCTTTCTACCCGGTTCCAGAGTCACGTTTAGGAGTACCTCTCCCTCCCCGAGGATTCTTTGTATAAGACAGTCTCTGGACAGATCTTTATTGAATTATCAGCATGTTGTCTCAAAGTGTCTTCTTGCAGGTTTCTTCAGCTTGTTGTTTCGCACCCTGCTTTCTCAAAGGATGAGGATTTGCAAAAATTCCTCAAAGAGGAAAATGTAAGTTAATGAAAATAACACTTAACTTTCTTTTTCTATTTCACTGATTTTTATATGTTGTATAGTTACAGCAAGGAATATACATGTAAGAACTGTACTCTATGATAAGATAATGATGATGATGATGATGATGATGATGATGAATAACTCTACAGAGATATTAGTTGATGGCACTGATAAACTGTCAGCATTTCCTGGTTTCTAGAGTCAAGGCAGACTCTTTGCCTGAACCTTACAATACTTAATAAACTGTTAAATGAATATACTGATTCTGCAGCTGGCTGCTGCTTCTTCATTTGTAATACTGTTTATTAATGGGTGTGTATAAAATTTCTGGCATGCTATTAATGGCCTCGTCAACTTATTATTGCAACAGGAAAGCTAAAATAACACAAGTCATTTGAGGAAATAATATTTTGCACCTTATTGTTATAATTTTAGTTGTTATCATTTCATTATTTTAATCTCAATAAGCAATCATTTATTAACTACTATTTGGTGTTTTGAATAATGAAAAATACGAAATATAAAATCAAGTACCCATTTACATTTATTTAATTAAAATTTGCATCTTTAGCCACCAGTAAGAACCAAAGTGAAAAAAGGTGTAATGGAGAGTATATCACGGGCCGTTGGTGACTTTCGGCATCATAACCACAAGGTAAATATCATCAGGTTATTGACTGAGCAGAAGGACTATTAAAGAGAATATCATATATAATGTCTTACCATTTTGTTACACATGGTCTATACCAAGTTACTGAAAGCCAAAATTATTTTCCTGTCCAGTGCGACCTCACTCAGCCAGTGCCTCTTTCATCAAGCTTGATTTTGTTGAAGGGTTCCGAGCAGCTCAACATGGGGGCTTTCTTGTGCAAACAAGGGAGCCCCCTCCCCAAAAAGGGCCTACATGTAGCCCCCGTGGGGCTGTAAATCTATCACTTTTACATTGAAATATTTGCATAGGTACATGTATGTAAAAATAAACCTGGGTGATAAATTTTTATTAATTTATGTAATATTTTGAGCTTACGCATATGTTACTGAAAGTGAAAGGTATGCAGCAGGGTCCTATTGTTAGGACTGTCATTAAGTTTTGAGTCACATCTAGCCTTGATCTTCACACTCGTAACAAACTTGTTACTTCATGGGTGAATTTTATTGATCAACGCTAGCCAAGTTCACCCAGAACATCAAGGGCCCTTTAAACATACTCAGCCATTTGAGTGAAGAATAACTATCTGAAGATCTGGAGATTTTTTCACATTTTTCTTTTCTGAAAAAAAAAGAAAACATTGATTACTATTATTGATCACAGACGTGTTGAAATGGCTTTTTTCAGGTGATTTCAAGCACGGTTGGTTTCATCTGCGTGATTCCAAAAAGTGATCACATTATGACAAACATCTTTTGGCCACAGTTTGCAGCACAGCTGTGGCAAATTCCTCAAAAGCACCAAGTTCAAGGCAAATCTTATCCCTGCGATGGATTTTGCATCTGTAGAACTTTTCTCTGCATAAACATATCTTGGATTGTATCTTGCTAGAAAATGTGCAACTCAAAAAACTTGCAAACAAACTGTGATTAGAAGCAACTTCCCCAGCAGCAGAGATTCAGTCATCGCACGATCATGAAACTTGTCATTGCATGATCACTTTTATTGAACCTGTGAATAAAACCAATGGTGCGTGCAGTGGCTTGGAAAAAAAAACCATTTCAGCAGATGTCTGAGATCATTAGTATTTAGTATTTTACCACTTGTTAACAGTTGTCATTGGACAACAAAAAGTGTCTGTCACATTCAGTTGTCAAAGAACAAGGGCAGTTTGCAGTTCATCATTTGTTTTCATGTGCTGTTCTGATAGGACCTTGATGAAGAATTCCAGAAAAAGAGAGATTTTGTAGAGCAGTACACACCACTTACAAAGGAAACCTTTGTGGTAAGGGATACCAACAACTTATGTTTACTTGGCAAAATGTAAAATTAAGTGTTACTATTAATTTTACTAATTTTATGTGCCATTTGAATTCATCAAATTCAATCCAGTTTAAATCCTCCTCATAATGTTTTTTTCCTTTTTTTTCAACAGAACTTCACTAAAATGGTTCACAGCCAACAGCGTAAGTGTCTGGTTCTGCCAAGAAATGAGACATTTTGTCAACCAACAGCAGAGATCCGATTTCTTTGAGATTCACTGATAGCCGAGAAATGAGTTGAAATTATTTTGAACGGCTAGCTGAAGAGTTGGGTTTATTTTAATTATTGGCTGTCAAGATTTCAGCCCGGAAGGGGGGGGGGGGAACACTATGTAAATCCTTGGGAGGGGGTGACCCACCATTAACCTACAGTAGACCATGATCAGCTTGATCATTAGATGATTGTGATTTTGCACCCCCATACAAGTAGACTAGACACTACCCCCTACCCTATCCCAGACTAGCCATTTTCTGTACAGAAACTTGATCTAACTAAACCAATGTCTTACAAAGTCACTTTCGAGTTTCACTTTCTATTAGAGAACCTGTGTAAAGAACCCTGTTGTACATGTAGACTAAATTATTTATACACTGGCCACTTCCCAGTAAATTATACCATATTCTAGATCGAGTTTTATAAACCTGCGAGCCAGCGAGCCATGCGAGCCAAAGGGCGAGCCATGCGAGTCATGCGAGCCCTAGAACAAATGTTAAGATTTTTTATTTGTTACATTTATATTCACATGAGAACAAGAACAAGAGGAACGGAACAAACTGAATAAGTTCGCAATATTAAATTCTTGCAATATTAAATTCTAAGGGAAGAGACAACCACATTCAGCAGTCAGCCAACCGACAAAGTTTTGATAACTCCGATTCACTAAAGAGCGAACCTGTTAAAATTACGCGATTCACTCACCATTCTTGACGCCAATACACGGAGTTGCCTGAAGTACTGTTCTCTTTTTTCTTGAATGATTTTCAACGTGGATATCAATGAATGACAGGTGCCAATGGATACCATTCACCTACCCATTCGAGTAGC